GGATGTGCAGCTACGACACACAACTATCCACTGGGGCTTTGGGGGGAAAAATAAAATAAATAAAATCTTTAATAAAAAAAAAAAAACAATCTTCTTTTGAAAACAATTAAAATTGCAAGAGTAAAACATGCTTGTTATTTTAAAAATTCACCTAGTTATAAAGCAAAGGGTAAACAGTGTCTTCCCATCCCCATTCACCAATCTGACTCTCGGAGATAACTTTTTACAATTTATGTATCCATTCAAGAAACTTTGTATGCCATTCGCATACACATACTTTAAAAGAAGGATACAACATACAGTCCTCCTAAAGCTGATTTTTTTCGTTATTTCATTTGAGTACCTACTGATCTACTTCATTATTTTTAGTGCCTGAACAGTGTCAGTATATTAGATCCTAAAGTATCATAACTTATTTAATCATTTCTGTATTGGTAGACATTTAGGTTATTTCCTATGTTCCACTATTAAAAACAGTATATCACTTAATAGCTTTGCACTCCCTTGTGTCAGATTATGTGTAAAATAAATTCCTAGAAATCGAGTGAATCTTTCCAATGGCAGTTTTGATGGAGGCTTGAAGGTGTTCTGTCATGGCTTGGTCTGAATTGAGCGGTTGAGGTAAATCAATGCTAGCAGAAGTGAGGATGATCTAGGGGGCAACGTCAATATCAGAGTCGTTTACTTTCCTTTTTTTCTTTTGGCCTAAGAACATGTTCAGTCCTTCCTTTCCTTTCTTAAAGCTCCCAGATGTATCCCTTCAGAAGCTTGAGACGTTTTGGATCAAGGATATATCGTGCGATCCTTGGTAACGGAAAATTACACTGTTGTCCCAAGAATCTCACAGGACAACTACGTAACAATCTCGTAAAACGGTCTCCTACAGAGGGGGAAAAAAGCTTTCTAACACTTATCCTCAAATATTTTACTTGGGACCAAGAACTGGTCGGACCACTTATTTTCAATTTGTGGCTGGAATAAGGCTGATTGGTGCACTTGGCATTTTTTCTTCCTCAGACAGGGGAGGGAAAGAGCTTAAAAGCCCTGACTGTGCGGGGATAAGACTAAGGAGGCCCAGGGAATCCCCGTACTAAGTGTGTGGAGGGCTTGTGTTTTCTTTCTTGCTGTAGCGTTGTGTACATGAGGGCGAGGGGAGGATAAAAAGTCTGGCTCCATTTCTCTTTTTATTTTCTCCATTCTGTGAAGGAAAGAAACTTCAGCAATGCTCTGTCCATTTCAGACACAAGAGAATCCCCTCAAGAGCCACGGGGCAGAAACACCGACCCCCCACCCGTTCTCTGTGGACTTAACTAGAGAAAGACATAAGAGAAGCTCTGGGGAAGACGAGCGGACCTCGCGGCTGAGGAGCAGCGCCACGCCTCGGCCTGCCCCACCTCCCGCGTCGTCGCGGGCCCCGCCTCCCGGGGGGCGGGGCCAAGCACTGCTTCCGGGTCGCGGGCGGAAGTGGAGAGATTTGAATCGTGTGGGCCGTTGGATGGGGCTGCTCGAGGTTGGCGTGTGGCGCTGCGCGAAAAGGGAAAAGTGTCGCGGCGGCTCTGGAACTTCTGCCCAGCGCGCCTTGGTGAGTGGACGGGGAACGGGAAGAAACGGAGTATTCCAGGGAGAGAGGCGGGCCCGTCGGGTGGGACAGGGGATCGGGAGGCGGGACAGTGTAGCGGGGGCCTCAGTGCTTTTGGAGGTGTGGGGCGGTCGGCGCCTTGGGAAGTCGCGGCGCTGGGGAGCGTGTCCCGGGCCAGCGCTCCCCACGGTCGGCGCTCACAGGCCGGCTCTGAGTCTTGAGGGTTCGGAGGCCTGACTGCCGCCGAGACTAAGCCTTGTTTAGTCTCTCATTTTCGGGTAATCGCAGTTCAGTATTTCCGCCAGTTTGGCTGGAATGCTGAAGCTTCATCAGCAGTTAAATCTCATTGCGACAGCGTTACCACAGGAAGAGAATCTGCCTTTATTAAAGATGGAAGGTTAGGGGCAGGTTTCGAGTGAGGAGATGGCCTACGTGGCTCCGAGTTCTAAGAGGGGTACCCGGAGTAATCCGTATTACTCTCGACTGCAGGCAAGTGACAGTCTTTGAAATGCTGGTGGGGATTTAAACTGAAATCTGAGTATCCTGTGTATTTAAAACCCGGATAGTGTTCTTTCGTGGTTGACATTTTTCGTAGACCGCAAAAATCCGAAACTGTTGCTCATTTAAACTGGTAACAGCGGTGACTCACGAGGGTCTTGGTTTGCCAACAATAGGGATAAGGTTTAGTTAGTTCCGCAGACCTGCCTTTTCACCCCGTTCATTCATTGGCCAGCGGAGTTATTGTGGAGTCATTTTGAAAGTACTCGACTAATATTTCCAGCATCGGGTTTTCTTTGTTTTGGTTCTTTGGTGTTTTTTGTTTTTGTTTTATTTATTTTTAGTGATGAACTACCTCACATATCTAACTCGATCCAACCCCGTAGCAAAGCCGTAACTTCTGAAATAGTTTAAACGTGTACCTTAAATGTAAACTGTAAATGAGTACTTTAAATGTCTAGAAATTCTATATCTTGCCTTATTGAAAACTGTCAGACTAATTTTTTGTTTCTTTAGAGGAACAGGTATTTTATGTTCCTTTAAAGATTTTAACACCACGGTGTGTATATCCCATACTATATAAATGTATAAATATCTTTTAAAAAGTAGGACTTAATAATATTCAGAATAGACAGTTCTCCATCCAGTGTTGGCTACTCCCACTCTCTGATCCCTGGTAATGAACTTTTGTTTCATTATAAGCCAGGAAAAATAGATTTACATATTCAGCATGTGTGATAGTTGAAATTTAAACATTTTGCGTAAGACTGCAGGAGACTTAGCTATAGTACTTTCCTAAGGATTGCAGACAGCTATTCAGCTCATTTCATATAAGCTACCAGCAAATGGTAATATTTAAAAAAAATTAGTCTCTAGATTTTAATCTGTTCCTTTTCCTTACCTGAACTCTTATATCATTGAGTTTTTGCTCTATCTACCGAGATCAGTGAGTTTCAAATTTCAGTGTGTGCACATTACCTTGAAGGGTTTCTTAAGTGCTGATTCCTGCGCTTCAAATCTCAGAGATTCTGATCCAGTAGGTCTGGAGGATGTGGTTGAGGAATCTGTAAGTTTAACTGGAAGGCTAGAAAATTTGACTGAAATTTAAATTCAGAATTTTAAGAACACTGACTTGATCTTTCCTAGCGAGTCATCATGATACATTGGTTAAGGGCATGGAACTGGAGCCAGATTGCCTGGGTTTGAATTCCATCTCCAACCACTGAGGAGCTGTGTGATCCTAAGCAAGCCGATTAACCAGTCTGTGCTTCAATTCTCTCAACTATGTAACGGGGATAATAGCAATACCTATCTTGTAGGTATTGCTACCTACCTGTGAGAATCAAATGTGCCAATATGTATAAAAATCTTAGAATAGTGTGTGGCACATAGTAAATGATACATATAATCTATTATATTGAGTTACTAAACATTGTACAAAATACATTACATACATTATCTCATTAATCTTTACAAATAACACTGCAGTATGTACTATTTTCGGATAGAAAACTGAGGCTAAGGGGGCTTCAGTAATTTGTTCTCACACAACTAATAAAATGTTTGATCTGGGTCAGGAACTAGATTTAGTATAAGAAAGTTTATGCCTCTTTTTTTTTTTTTTTTGAAGTAATGCTTCCTGCCTCTCTTTGCAGTCTCTCCTTCCAGATGTTGCTCTGTAAAAATCTCTAGTGGCTTCCCATTGTCTACCATATATAATTCAGATTTCTTAGCTTTTTCTTTTTTTTACGAAGCCTGTTTCAATCTGATTCCAACCTCTGTTTTGGAGCATCATCTGTATAATATTCCACCCCTCTTTTCCAACCTGTGAGCTCTAATCATACAATTATAATTCTCCAAATCTATTCTCTGTCTTTTTTATGCATTCTTACCCATCAATCTTTTTTATTTCCCCTTAAAATTTTATCCGGTGGGTTTCAGATACCTTCCTAGACTTCCCCAGGCACAGAGTACTTCTTCCTCAGTGCAGTTTAGTTGTAAACATAGCCCTAGACGGAGAGCTCGTGTCCTGTTTGCCTTTATATCTGCAGTTCTTGGTGCAGAACAGTGAGTGCCCTTCTACTCTGAAACTGTGTATGTTCAATGAGTGCTTGTTACTTCTACAGTTGAACACATTGTGTCTTGTTAATGCTGAAAAAGTTAAAAGAAAAAAAAGAGCTTTGCTTTTTTACTGAGATGATAGACTATAATTCTGTGTGGCTTAATAGAAAGATTTTAGTGATATCATATGGTTTGTAAATTTCACAAATGTGGAAAAATAAGTATTGAAATTATAGGCTCAGAAGACATTACAAGTGGGAAAAAAATTAAGAGCAGTATTTGGTAACATTCGCAGAACTCCAAATGCTTTATATGTGTCTGCTCACTCCTTAAAGCCATTTTAGTATTGTCCCCATATTAAGATGAAGAAACCGAGGTGAAAGATTTAGTAACTTAAAATAATTTTTTTTTGCATTTAATTTCTCCCAGTGCAGTTTTTTTAAATTATAAGAATAATATATGTGTAATGAAAAAATTAACTTTATAGTAGAGAATTACCTTCATTTGTTCATGAATGTTCATTTCTACATTAATTCAATTAGAAATTAAGAAAATATTGGAGAATTAAAAAACAGAAAAGTTTGCCTTTCCTTTTCAGTTTGAACAGTTAAGACTGTTGTTACCTGACCTCCTTGCCCACAACCTTTTCTTTAAACACCTGCCCAGCATTGTAGGAACATCATTCTAAGGGCCAGTGAGTGGGTAGGGGTTGATCAAAGGAGCATATGATTCTAATATGCTCCCATCCCACACACCTTCTCCAGCCAAAGTAGTACCAGGTATTTGAATCAGAGCTGAATATCTGGTGTAGGCTAGACGATTCACATTATTTTTCTTGAATTTTGGAGTTGGGATACCAAAAGACTGTTGGGAGCCAAGCTGGAAAGGTCTTTATGTGCTGAGATGACAGTGGAATCATGAAGAAACATGGACACTGGGCATAGGGAGCCAATATGCAGCGCGGTGGGGGAGACCTGTTTCCTGAGGACTAGTTAGTTATAAAGTAAGTCAGTATAAACTTGTAATTTTATTGCTTTCCTCTTTTTTGTTGAGGCTCTATTTTTTTAGAGCAATTTTAGGTTCACAGCAAAATTGAGGGGAAGATAATAAAGATTTCCCATGTACCCTCTGCCCCCACACATAAGTAGCCTCGACCATTATCAACATCCCCCACTAGAGTGGTACATTTGTTACAATTTATGAACGTACGTGGACACACAATAATCACTCAAAGCTCATAGTTTAAACTGTGGTTCACTCTTGGTGTTATACACTCTGGGTTAGGACAAATGTATAATGACATGTATCCATCATTATGGTATCATAGAGAATATTTTCACTCTTCTAAAAATGCTGTGTACGGTGCCTATTTATCCCTCCCCCCACTTCGCAACCACTGATCTTTTTACTGTCTTCATCGTTCTGCCTTTTCCAGAATTTCATATAGTCGGAATCCTACAGTATGTAGCCTTTTCATATTGGCTTTCTCACTTAGTAATATGCATTTAAGTTTCCTCCATGTCTTTTCATGGCTTGATAGCTTGTTTCTTTTTAGCACTGAATAATATTCCATTGTCTGGATGTACCAGAGTTTATTTATCCACTCACCTACTGAAGGACATCTTAGTTGCTTCAAAGTTTTGGCAATTATGAATAAAGATGCTGTAACCATCCATGTGAAGGTTTTGGTGTGGACATAAGTTTTTGCTTCCTTTGGGTGAATATCAAGGAGCATGATTGCATCATTGAGGTAAATCCCACTTGGTTGTGGTGTATAATTCTTTTTATACATTGTTGGATTTGATTTGATAATATTTTGTTGAGAATTTTTGCATCTATGTTCATGAGATATATTGGTCTGTAGTTTGGTTTTTTTCTTGTGATGTCTTTGTCAGATTTTGGTATTAGGATAATAGTGGCCTAATAGAATAAGTTATGAAGTGTTCCCTGTGCTTCTGTCTTCTGAAAGAGATTGTAGAGAATTGCTATAATTTCTTCCTTAAATGTTTGGTAGAATTCACCAGTGAACCCATCTGGGCCTGGTGCTTTCTGTTTTGGAAGGTTATTAATTATTGATTTCTTTGATACAGGCCTATTCAGATTGTTTATTTCTTCTTGTGTGAGTTTTGGCAAATAGCGTCTTTAAAAGAATTGGTCCATTTCATCAAATTTGTGGGCGTAGAGTTCATAGTATTCCTTTATTATACTTTCAATGTCCATAGGATCTGTAGTGATATCCCTTCTTTCATTTCTGGTATTAGTAATTTGTGTGCTCTCATTTTTTCTTAGCCTGGCTAGAGGCTTACTGACTTTATTGGTCTTTTCAAAGAAACAGCTTTTGGTTTTGTTGATTTTATCTGTTGATTTCTTGTTTTCAATTTCATTGATTTCTGCTCTAATTCTTTTTACTACTTCTGCTTAATTTGGATTTAATTTGCTCTTCT